TCGGTGCATGAATGGCTCGAAGGGAATGCAGCAGTTTTCCGGGTGTATGGTCTGTCCCAATCATCTGATGTGACACACTTTGCCGTGTGCGGGGCATTCTTGAGAAAGTTGTTCGTTGTGCTCTCTTCACCCTCCTCTATGGATGCAATTCCGGTACGAATGGAAATAAGTGCATCGGCCAACCGATCCAACTCCCGCTTTGACTCTGACTCTGTGGGTTCAGTCATGAGTGTTCCCGCAACAGGAAATGCCAGGGTAGGTGAGTGAAGGCCATAATCCATAAGTCGTTTCGCCACATCTTCTGCCTCAATTTGTGCTGTTTTTTTAATGGCCTTAAATCTATGATAAACTCGTGAGCGCAGAAATCGTTTTCCCCCAGAAAGAGAACTGGGCAGTGGCCGTCAAGACGCTTCTTTAAATAGTTGGCACTTAAAATCGCATGCTCCGTGCACGTCTTGAGACCCCGTGAACCAAGCATCCACATTAATAAATAAGAAACTGGAAGAATAGACGCTGATCCGTATGCTGCTTGAGAGAATTGACCAAAAGGCTGGGAACCACCAACATTTTGAATAAAAACAGAACGTGGCAAGAATGACGCCAGGTGCTGACGAACAGCAATAGGACCCATGCCTGGCCCACCACCACCACGAGGAATTGAAAACGTTTTGTGGAGATTAATCTGGCACACATCGCCCCCAATACATCCAGGTGCCGTGTAACCCACCATGGCATTCATCTTTGCACCATCAATATAACATTGCCCTCCATCGTAGTGCACCATCGAAGTAATGGCCAAGATTTCCCTGTCAAACAAACCGTACGTACTCGGACACGTTATCATAATGCACGAGAGATTCTTTGTATGCTTTTGGCAAGAGTTTTCCAAATCCTTCATGTCAATCCTTCCATTCGCCACTTTATCTTTACAATCACCATTCCTGCCAAGAGAGCCGAAGCAAAATTTGTGCCATGAGCACTTTCCGGAATCAAGCAAACATTGCGATGGCTCTCCTTTTTTGAATTATGATACGAGCGGATCACACAAAGACCAGCAATATTCACCCTGAGCACCACTATTTGGCTGAAGTGACACGGCATCTAAAGCGGTAATATCCCTTATTTTCTGCTCCAGATCCAAACACAACGCACTATGTCCCCGCGTTTGCTCCTTCGAT